AGTTAAAAAGCTTTATATTTATTATCTTATTTTAATATAATTGTATCTCTATATTACATTCATTTTCTAAAACACAGGGTTGTAGAATCCTCCTTTCCATGTACAATTCACTTATATTCACAAGAGGTAAAAGATAAAGGACCTAGTGTATTTAAATGCTTTGATTTTAGTTGTTAAAAGTGGAGGGAAGCTGGGCATGGTGGGGCATGCCAGTAATCCTAGCAGTTAGCAAGCTGAAGCAAGATGAGAGCAAGTTTGAGGTGAGTATGGCCTACAAAATGAACTCCACACCAACTGGAGCTACACACCGAAGCTCTGCCTCTAGAAACCCAGAGCAAAAGCAGAGGCAAAATCAACCAGAAATAGTATTTGGTTTACTGGCTTCTAGCCAGCTAATCAAATAATAATAGATTCTCTACAGATTTGAAAGACTCATGGTTAATCATATAAAGCATATTAAGTACAGATAGAAATGCTAGTTTTTACTTTTATTTTTCAGAAGTTAGGTAGTTAACCCTGACTTCTAAAACTTTCTTTTCTGTATTTTTCCCTACCAAGATGCATATTACGAGTAGCAAATACTTTCAGAGACAATACTTTGTGAGGGGACAGGACCATGATTACACTTAAGATGTATGGATGATAAATGTACATATTCACGTATGTCTAAGTGAAAGGCTAACTAAAAAGAATAGTATTGCTCTTGAGACTCAGAATTTGAGAGCATGTCCTTGCATTTCAGGCAGGCTTGGGAAGCTGTGCCCCTTCAGTCCTCAGAGGGACAGTCTGCCTCATCTAGCACCTGGCTCAATTCCAATCCAGCTTATCACTGAAGCATTACTGTCACCATAGAATAATATGTTATTCTAAGAGGGAATTTGGAGCTGTACCTTATTTTAGATATAAGCAAAACAAACGTATCTCATAATCAACTACAACTCTACTCATTAACTAAGACAATCCGTAACAATAGAGAACTGTTAGAATTATATCATTTTTTGAGAAACTATATCGTTTTTTGAGAAACTATAGCATTTTCACTCAAAAATTACACACACTGCAGTTAAGCACATTTAAAAATCTAGACAATTACATTATTCACAGAAAAAAACTTACCTTCAGATTGAAATAATTTAGGACTGGCAGAATACTGTTATTTTATAAAAAGAAACGGTAAAGTTTAAGTACATTCTTGGCACTGAAACAGTATACATTGTAAAGAAGCATTCTGGAATGGTCAAGTATGTGTCTTGTGTTAGAACCACAGAAAAAAAGGTGAATGGGCCTGATGACATGTGTAACTGGACCCTCATTTCATTGGTCTAACATACCACAGTGAGCTATGGTCTTTGGTCTGGCACAGGGCAATACGTTTTATACTCCTTATGGAGAATATCAAGAAAATCAATATTCCTTATAATCTTTCAGCTTGCTTAAGAATACAATCATTGGGCTAGGGATAGAGCTTACTGGTAGAACCTCTGTCTAGACCATGTAAGACCCTAAAAAACAATATGCACTTTCAAACTATAGGCGGCCATTAGAATTCAGTGTAATTACCCTGGAGGCAGGGATGAGATGAGTGAAGGGGGTTGTAGAGAAGCTTTTGAGGAACTCCTACTTGATTACGATTAGTTCGATAGTTTAGGATAAATGTGCTGAGTTTGGGCCAAGTACATTGAGCTATGTGTACTTTTCTGTATTTAAAAATCTTTTTGTGCTACAATTCTACATTCATGACAAGTTTCAGAAGTGTCATTCATACACACACACACACACACACACACATACACACGCACTTTTGGGGAAAATATTTTTTTTTAAACTTTAATTTCAAGTTGAGATTTTAGGACAGGAAAAGTTAAAAGAAAACTTCCTGTTTAAACTACAGTGAAAATCACCAAGGCAGTCATTAAGAGTAGGAAGGACATTAAATACAAAGGTCTAAGCACTGTTTTGTAAACTTCACTCTATCACTCACAGACTCGGCATGATACCTAATTAATATGCTTCACATATAGGCTATGTGCAAAATAGGAAAATAACATTACCAACACCTCCTTCACAGAGTTTGTGTACAAATTAAAGTGACTACTCATAGAAAAGGCAACATGAGCAAATACTGAATATCTGTATAGAAATACGGTATTTCTATCAAGGTCCATGTACAAAAAGACAGATTTCCTAGTGTACACTGAGGACTGTAAAAAAAAAAAAATCAAGAAGCTTGGACAAGCTTTTGACATGATATCCCAGGTCTTATCAGAAAGTAGGTTAAAGTACCCACTTATTTGTTCTACTCTCATCTCCAGGTCCTCTTGCTCTGAGACAGAATCCAGCAGCTAGGACAGGGAAGAAGGCTGATGTACCTATTGGAAGCGGCCATGGGACCACAGTGAACTAGGATGAGATGGGGCAGCAGGGGCTAGGACAGGGAAGAAGGCTGATGTACCTACTGGAAGCGGCCATGGGCCCACAGTGAAATAGGATGAGATGAGGCAGCAGGGGCTAGGACAGGGAAGAAGGCTGATGTACCTACTGGAAGCAGCCATGGGCCCACAGTGAACTAGGATGAGATGGGGCAGCAGGGGCTAGGATAGGGAAGAAGGCTGATGTACCTATTGGAAGCAGCCATGGGCCCACAGTGAACTAGGGTGAGATGGGGCAGCAGGTGCTTAGCTTTAGGCCAGGAGCACCCCAAAAAATAAAGTTCAATGACTCTGAGGCCTTCCAAGAGAAGATAAAGAAACATTTTTTAAATCTTTTTGAGACAGGGTCTCCCTGTAGCCCCAGCTGGCCTGGAACTCATTATGTAGATGAGGCTGGCCTCGAACTCACAGAGATCTACCTGCCTCTGCCTCCCAAGTGCTGGAATTAAAGCTGTGTGCCTCCACCCCCAGCAAGAAACATTTGAAAAAAACATATAATGTGTTTATATTTTAACATTGGCAAGTAATTTTAAAAAATGATTTTCACAGTAAGAAAGAAAAAAAATCTACAGGCCAGAGTACACCCATGGACTACTAGTTTGAGTTCTGCATTCTTGTCTCCTTCAATATCATTTCACAATCTCCAAAGTCTTTCTTTCTAGAGACACCAATTCCTCATTTCATTCCTAGCCTTTTATTGTAACCACTGAATACATTCCAGTTTGACTCTGATTTGCAAGAATGCAAAACTGAATGCAGTGTTCAGAATACTGTACACTGTGGTAGTATGCACCTTTATTCTCATTTTTACACTTATTCTCTACTATTCTTTCTCTTTCCTTAGGCAACTTATTTTCTTTCCACTGTCTTCTATTTTAGGCCAACCAAATGAGTGGGATCAGCCTCACTGTGCTTCAAATACCAAGAAGTGTTGCTGATCTACATGTGCTAGATAATACTAAAGTTCTTCCCCTTCATACTTAACAGTGGTCAGCTTATTCTTTTTTCCCTTGAACATCTTTGATAAATACATAAAGCTCTTTGCCATTCAAAGAGCAAAATACACTCTAGGTTGCAGGAACCCCTAAACAATCTCATAATTCCCATCGGCCTAGAAAACTACTATCCCCTTGATCTTTTTCTCAGTTAAATTCTGCTTGATATGACCCATTTCAAGTTTCTCTGCTGGATCCTGAGAAGTCCATTTCCACATTAGTCTCCTATCATACTCTATGGTACTAAGCCATTTTCTGTCAGCCTACAGACTCCCCTGAAATCAGGGGCCATAACTTATACCTTGCATCTCTAAGACACAAAATGCTTTTCTTCTCTTTAGTTAATGGATTTAATGGAAGAAATCCATAAACATATTTTGGAGCTGTATTTTTACCTTTGGCTAAGAACACAGGGGTGGCAAAACAAACAGCATTGTTAAGAAACAGTTACAGCAGAGCCACTTTGCTGTTCTGGGTGTTCTTAGGAGAAATATTTATCTAATGTTCCTGACAGCTAAGAGGGCCATGGGAGGTGGGTTACAACCTTCCCTGGGTTCTTGAGGTCTACCTAAATTGAGAAACATTGCTCATTTTTGGGTAGTGAGTACAAATACTTGTTAAATGAATAATAGGTACCAGGCATTAAGCTATATGTCAGAGTAATCATGCAACATATTACACAGAATTTTCCCAATGAAAATAATGAAAGGAAAACTTACAGTGCCTCTCCTCAGTACTGAAGTATGCGTGCATGTGTATGAGTGTGTGTGTGTGTGTGTGTGCGCGCGCGCGCGTGTGCGCGTGCATGCATGTCCATGTCTGTGTACTTGTGTGTGTAGCAAGTTGACCTCCAGAGTGAATTAATTTAAAAACAAATTTCTATAGCACTCACCTTGAAAGCTGCTCTTTAGCAGCTGCAGATGCACTGGGGCACTTTTTTATAGCTTACCTGAAAGTCTCTTTCTGCCACATTAGGGCATCAACATTAGGACACGGTATCTCAGGGGATTCTATGTACATAACTCATACTTCCCTCAGTAATGATCAGTGATAAAGTACACTGAAAGCTTAAGCAACTAGCAGATTTAGGCAATAAAAAAGAACCATTCCTATATGCCCAGTACTGGAAAGATAAACAAAGGAGGGTCAGGAGTTCGAGGCCATGCTCAGTTATATAGTTTGAGCCAGCCTAGGCTATGAGATGCCCTGTCTCAAAAACAAGGAAGAAGGAATTGACTATTTTAATCACTGTAACCAACTGATAATTCATGAGGGATCAAATGGTCTCATTCTTCACTCATCTTTCTTTCTCCTAGGATTTGAGGTTTATAAATATGTAATAACTTCTACTCATGAAAATTTGTGTTTTTTTATCCCTCATCTCAACCACCAGCATATCACTAACCATCAGCAAATTCCTGTCCATAAACTTAAGAGGGTATTAAGGCCTGCCTCGTATGGCTAAATATATGTTAACTGAACAATGAGCAGAGAAAGAATGCTTTGCTGATTTTCTTGAAGACTGGGTGAGTTTTAGGAATAACTCAAGGTTATTTTATTAAAGAAAAGGGGTAAGAGCAATTCTGGTATGACAAAGCTCTGACACAGCTGGTTAGTAATGAATAACTGGTATTCCCTCAAAACAACTTAGGTCTCCCATTCTAAGTCTGAAATGTTTCCAGAAGAAACTGACACCTACAAAGGCCAAGAAGGTGGCCCACCTTCATACAGCTTGAAAGTGCAAAGATAGAAGCAGGGCCCTGGACTCAAAACAACTATGCAAGTTCTCTTCTGACCATACCTTTTACAAACTACTGCTTCTACAGAGCGTACCAAGTTTTTGGCCAGGAAATGCAAAGTTGGTAAGAAATGCTGCTGAAATGTAGACATCAAAATCAGTTCAAATAGTGAAATGGGTGCAGTTTAGAACATGCCTTCAGGACGGCTGGCTGAGTCTCCTCAAGATAATGCCCCTACCTTTAATAAGAGTAACTGGAATTTCAGTTTCTCATGTCCCTGGCACTCTTTTATGAATGTCCTTTATGACCTAGAGGTCTGCTGTCTCTCTGATATAGTCATTTAAAATCTATTTAAAAATAATCATGCCTTGTACACACACATTATAATATTAACTCTACATACTTAATGAATATGGTAGAATTTAGTCAAGACCTGCAGTGTCAAATCAATGAAGTTAGTAGTTCAGGAGAAGATACTAGCCATCTTTGCAGCAAGCTATTTTTTTTTGCTGCAAATTGCCCCAAGAAAATTCTTCACTTTGTTTGATACTGGTCTTTCGTCCCATATTCATTCTTACTCACAGAGAATCAAATGTGCAAATAATTCAGCTACACACAATTTATAGAAGTTTATCATCAAAATCTTCCTTGAAAAAAGCATAAGAAGTCACTCACATCCAAGATATGGAACATTCTGGGAAAGGAAATCAGCTGAAAAAGTAGCTAAGAATGTCCAGTCAAGCAAACTAGCTGCACTATGTAAATCTAGTGAAACTGAGCCTCTCTGAAGCTCAGAATCTATAGACTGTTTTTCTTTCTACAAACAATATTGAGTGAATCAATTTAATCTTTATTTTACTTGAAACATTCTGATATGCAGCAGACAAACTGAAAGGCACAGAGGTTAATGAAAAATACATTGAAGACACATAACAGATACTGGGAATGAAGGCTGTGACAGTAGAGTTGAAACAAAACTACAGGAGTCCAAAATTTAAAATTACAGAAGACAAGAGACATTAAAAGTTAGCATAACTTTTTAAGAGTGGAAAAGAATATTTTAAAAGAGAATACATTTTAACACCTAATTTTTCTTCCTTAAAGTTATTATGCAAATTATGAAATTAGAGAGAAAATTAGCACATCAGATTAAAAGTAATTTGAGAGGAGTCAGTATCATTCCACCATCACTTCATCTAGCCCGTTTGACAAATGCGAAAGTTCTCTGAACTCCTAGTTTATATGTTTAGGGTGACTACCATTTCATTAAATATCCTACCACCTACCTAGGCAGCAACTAAAAGACATCAACTTCTTAGGCACTAAGACATGAACACAGCTGTCACTTTCTAGACTTTTATGAAAGGGACATAAAAAGTTAAGGGACAAAATTATTTCTTTAAAATGTGAATTCCTTACCTAAGTTTTAAAATATCATCTATTCTTATAAAAATTATTTTATGTGACAGATAAATTTAACCAAAGACTGAAAAGAGGTACTAACACATATATAAAAAATCAGAAGTTTTGGTGTAGCCTTTAAAGATTTGTACTATTCTTTTTTAAAAAAAAAATAATTTATTTATTATTTTTTATTTTATGTGTATGAATGTATTGCCTGCATGTAGGTAAGTCCACCCATGTCGTGCAATGCCCAGGGAGGACAGAAGAGGCCACTGGATCCCCTGGAACTAGAGTTAACGGACAATTGTTAGCTGTCATGTGGGGGCTGGGATTTGAACTCAGGTCTTCTGCAAGAACAACCAGTGTTCTTAACTGCTGAGCCATCTCCTCAGCCCCAGGATTTGTACTATTCTTATAATGATTTTTATACACATGTATTTATAACATGCTTCTAGTACATAAATCTGTCTTTAAGGAAGAATATACAATGCTAACTATTACAAATAGTCTTTTAATATTTTTTAGTTAGAGGTTTGTAATTTGGGGGAAAAACAAAAGATACAGTTTAGGAAAAATCAAATTTTTATGATGTCTCCTTCTGCCTTTGAGACTGTAGCACAAATGACACAAGTTCTTGTTTTAAACCACATGTAAAAAGCCATGATACAAAATCAGTTTTTAAAAATGAACACACCTATTATGCAAATGACTTCATTGGCCATAATTAGGTTAGATTTAATGTCTGCTACTTCAGTTCCAAATAAAGAGGTAACACATTATTCCAGAATTTTTTTGATCCCAGTAGTCCATTCTGTAAAAGTTCTTTTGACTCCACTCGCATTTTAGACCTCTGCTCTTTGTCTTTTCTATCTGGTTTGGTAATGGGCTTTTTTTGATAAGTTCTAGGTTTGCCATATTTCACAGACCCTTTTATTTTATGCACATTTATGGACTGCTTTCTGCCACCCTGCCTCTTGCTTTCAACCTCTTTTTTACCTACCTCCTGGTACTTCCCTTCTTCCTCACTGTCTTCTGTTTCTTCCTCATCCTCTTCATTCCTTCCAGTGTCTTCCTCCTCTCTTTCCTCCCCCTCCTCCTCCCCTCCTTCTTTCCCCTCTTCTTCCTCCTTTCCTTCCTCCTCTTTGTCCTTTCCTTTCCCCTCTTCCCCTTCTCCTTCCCCTTTGAGTTCCTCTCCTTCCTCTTCCTCTCCTGTCCCATCTCCCTCCTCCTCCTCTCCTGTCCCATCTCCTTCCTCCTCTTCCGTCCCATCTCCCTCCTCCTCCTCTCCTTCCTCCTCTCCTGTCCCATCTCCCTCCTCCTGTTCTACATCCTCCTCCTCTCCTTCTTCCTCCTCTCCTTCCTGTTCTTCCTCCTCCTCTTCCCCCTTTCCTTTCCCAACTTTTTCTTCCACCCCTTCCTCCTCTCCGTCGTCTTCCTCCATTTCTTCCTCTCCTTCTTCTTCCTCTTCTCCCTCTGGCTTCCATCCTTCTTCCTCTTCCCATTCCTTCACTTCCCTATCTAGTCTGTCTTTCCTATCTCCTTCCTTTTTTCTTCTTTCCCCTTCCTCCTCCCCACTTTGTTCTTCTTCTGCTTCTTTCCCTCCCTCTTCCTCTGCATCATCTTCTCCCTCTCCTGGCTCTTCTTCACCTTCCTCTTCCTCCTTTTCTCCCTTTCCTTGGTACTCTGCTTCTCTGTCCTCTATCTCTTGCTTTCTGTCCTCTCTGTGGCCTTCATCCCTCTCCCTTACTTCTCCTTCCTCGTCTCTGTTCTCCCATTCTCCCCCCTCTTCCAGGTCTTCCTCTTCCATAATCAGGATGTTCCTTTCTCTTTTACTCTCACCTTCCCCCCCCCCCCTTCTTCTTCCTTTACCCTTTGCCACTGTTCTGCTCCTGAAGTCCCCTTCTTACATATCTGGTCCCCACCGCCCTCAAACCCATCCTCTGCCTCTCCCCTCGACTCTCCCTCACTTTCACTCACCTCCGCTTTGTCTGTAATGACGTCTGACAGTGTTTCTGCATTCTCTTCCTTTCTTTCTCCTTCAAATGACACATTTCCCTCATACGTCTGTAACACTTGCTTATCTTCCTCCTCATCTACTGAATGTCCTTCCGGATCCTCTGTCACTTCCTCCTCCTCTGGTATCCCTGCCAAGTAGCCATACTTAAGATGGTATTTAATAAAGAATCTTAATACTCTGGCTTTTCTTTTACTTCTTTGCTCAACACATTTGCTGCAGAACCACAAGGAGCGCTCAGTTTCCATGTCATCATCCTCTTTCTCTTCAGTACTAGGTTCTACTGCCTGGGGCTTCTCGAATCTCTCAGCCCTGTCCTGCTGACTTTGGCTTTCACATTCCACATAACCGTCTGGTTCTCCTACCATTTCTGTTTCACTGTCGATAAAGCTGTGCTCTCTACGACTCCATTCCTCACCACTGTCTTTCTCTTTTTCAGTCTCAGAATTCATGTCTTTCTCCGGCACATCATAAGGAAATGGATCAGATTCTACATTCTCTTCCCCTTCTTTGCTCTCTTTCAAACCTGCCATATTCATCAGCTCACTTTTCTTCTCTGGAACTAGTTCTTCTTCATCACTCTCTTTTTCTATACCCTCAATTTGGGAACCCTCTTCATCAGTGGCGGCCTGAAGCCCCACCTGGTCTGGGTCATGACCTATTTCCTCATCTGAAAATGCTCCCATAATCTCAGGTGGTCGGATCATGAACGTCCCTTTTGTTAAATGTTGCTTATATACTGTCCCTTCTTGAATTTTTGACATTTCTTCATATTCATAACTATCATCATTTTCAGTACAAGCTGGACTTCCCATCAGTTTCTCAACTGTGTCTTGATTCTGTAAAGTTTTTGAAGTAATCATTACACTACTATTAGTTGAAAAATATATTATATCTACTGTAAAGTATGCCAAGATTTTATATTTACATTTACAAGCTAATGGATGGTGAAACCTCAGTAATTCAAATTCTACAAACTATGATATATGTTAGGCCTAGGAAGAGGTTCATTAGTTTGGGCCAAAGAAATTATTAAAGCATGAGTTATAAGTTAGTAACACCTAATATATAGAAAGAACATAACAACAAAACCTTTTATTACTCACTAAAGTAGGCCTGGTAGAGCCTAAACACAAAAGTAATATGTGAAATATGAACTTTGTCAGTTTCATAGGAAGTGCTTTCCATCCCTACTTGTTCTAGGTCACTTCATTAGAACGTTTTAAAACTTGAATGTTCTTTCTAAATGTATATGTATTCTTTTCCTACCAACCCAGAAGGTATCAAGTACAGCACATAAGAGAAGAGGAAGAAGAGATACAGGAAGGATGGCTGTTTATGCTAGATTAAGTCACTAAGGTAGTCAACATTTACCGAGATTACCTATCTGTATCAGGAATTGAAGAGCAGGCTGTTACTCACTATGCCTCTCACTCATATGTTAGGCTGCCTGTAAGTTTTTATAATTCAGCAAGATTCCCTTGCATTTTATGGGCTCTTGTTTTAAGGGCTTTTTATTTAACAACGTTGCAAATGTAGAAGAAATAAAATTAAACATTTTCTATAGTCTTCTTCCCTCAATTTTGTATTTCCATATTTTACTTTACTAATTTCTATAATTTTATTTTACTAATCTCCACCTCATATTTTCATCCCCCTAGCCCTTAAAGGAAGAGCAGGTCTTCATTTCTCCACCTCATATTTTCATCCCCCTAGCCCTTAAAGGAAGAGCAGGTCTTCATTTCTCTAAGGTTATAGAAATCACAGATTATTCTTTTGCTCTTGCTACTGTTTCAATTAAGTCTCTCTTTCTTACCCATTTGCAACTGTTATTTCAATTATTTCTATTCAAACCCTTTCTTGTTAAATAAAACCCAATCCAAATATTAGGGAAATGATTATCAAACATTTTTCACTAAACTTAAAATTTTTAGAGCTAGAAAAGATGAGAATATTATCCAATGAAGTCAGCAGAGTGACTTCCTCAAAGTCATACACAACCAAAGTCAAACAAACTTTGATAAATAGCCTCTTCCTAAAAATCAGAGCAGTGATTACAACCTACTGCTTGGTGAAAGAGTATAACTATGAAAACTTAGGTGAGGAACCCAAAGAGCAAATTCTAGCAATATAATTCTATTAGAAAATACATACCAAGAGAACATAGTGTTCCTCTATCTTTTAAGTTCTAATACAAGTGAATGATTACCTTTCTTGTGTTGTTTCCAAAAACCTTTCGTATAAAAATAATTAAAATTATCCTGACCCACCACAAGAATAATAACAACCCTCCATGTTATACCTGTTGTTGTTTCTGAATTGGTGAAAATGTTACTGGCTTCTCATTGGAATTCAGACTCATCATGTGTGTCTGAAATTAGAAAAAAATATATATACAGACGTATATATGTATGTTCAAGACAGAATTAAGAAACTCTATATGAGTAATGAATACAAAGTAACTCAGGTGTTAATATGATCTACTGCACTTGCCAAACTAATGATGTTAGGATAAAACTACATTTCATCTTATGTGAATTATACCTCAAGAAAGTTAGTTAAAATGTAAGAAATAGATTTGATATTTAAGATGGTAGCTTCAAGGAACCCAGGACTTGTCTGCTTCTCCATGAGTTAGAAGCTTGCTTACATGGGAGACTACAGGGGAGTGCTGGAATGCAATAGTAAAATGACAAAGACTTAGAATAGACTCGGCTCTTGGGAGAGAAGAGTATGAGGAAAATGGCACCCCAAAACCAACCCCATGGCAGTTTGGCAGGAGGAGAGGGAATATCTCCTGGAGCAGGAGAGAGATGAAAGGTAAGAGAGCCTCAGTGAGCTCCACCAGTGATGGATTTGGTACTCAGAATATATGGAAATCATGGCATGAGTTGAGTCTTTTAGGTTTAGCCTTTGTAGGCCTAGATTTGAAAAATATAAAAACTTTCATTAATTCAACAAAATAATGTATCTCATAAGGGCATTCTCATCCATGAGCACTATGCACTTCAATCACACTTCTCTACCACCCTCTGTCCTCCCATGGCCCCTCTCAAACTAAGCATCCCCCCTTCTACTTTCATGTCCTTTTTGGTTTTAATGTGGATCCTGCATCTGAGAGAAAACATGTGGCATTTGTCTTAATGTACGTGCCGGCCTATAGTAGTTTTCCTGTGATCTGTGCTACTAATCACTAACCATCAATAGCTTTAAAACTGTAAAAAATGATACTGTTGGGCTGGGGAAGACAAACAGTGTAGACAGACAAGAGACCTGAAATGTGTACAGAGAATTTCTCTGTATTTCTCAGTTTGTTCTCAAGGTGCTGGAACTGGGGAGCCATCTTGAGATAGGTCATACTCTTTAAGCTTAACTGTTCTTAGAGTTAAAGATTGCTGTGTTTCCGTATCTGTGGGGCCATGTTTATAGCAATTTCCTTCAAATTAAAAGATTCCATCTTGAAGGCAGCTAACTAAGACTCAAGAAATAAACAACTCACAAGTCTCAGGAAGTCCCTGAAAGTTACAAGATTCACAGAGTCTTTCTCTCTCCAAGTTATTTAAATGGCACTAAGGAATACTTGGGAAAAGGAATTCTTTGACATGTTGAGCTGCCTCCAACTTGTACAGAGGGCTCAAGATCATAGGTTTTGAGCATCATTACCCATGCTGGGGTAGGTTTTGTTCATGATGTAGCTTGGAGTCATCCACGATCTTGTAAGTAACCCCTCATCCATATTCATGTAAGTAACCCCAATAAACTCAGCGGTGTACCAAGTTGGACTTTGAAATTTTTACTGTGATTTGTTGTTAGTTCCCTATATGGGTTGAATAAACTTCTTCATGCCTCCCCAGGAAAAGTCACCCAACAGACCCATGGCAATACCACTGTACTAGTTCAGCAAGAAAAAAATCTAGACAGTCTAGACAGTCAGGGTGGCCTAAGAGAGAGATTCTAACACAATCCTCCTGAAAACTCTATGCAGTGGGAAACTGGAATGCAATGCTAAGTAGGAAGCTTCCTTCCTTTGTTTAAAAACTGGAGACTTAGGAATCCAACAGTCAGAGAAGCTGAGGGAGCAAATAGTTGTGTATTATTCTGCATGATAGCAAGTCTGAGAGCAGAGAAAGTGGGTCCATCAGACCGTGACACTGTATACGTCTTGTCAAAGCCCACTACTGCCAAAGAAGACACAAGAAGAGGACAAGGTAGTTCAATTGGAATTAAACTCAATACTATAGGACAAACTGATAACTAAAGGTATAGCATCAGGAAAGGGCTGGTTACTAAGGAAGATCTCACATAAAAGTGTAAGACATATCATCCCAACAAATGAGCAAGTGTCAACACAGAAATATACTCTGGATGCTGAGGCCAGTAGGCCATCACAAGTTCAAGGCCTACCTGGACCACAGTGAGTTTCAAGACAGTCTAGGCTACAGAATGAGGCCCTATCTCAAAAACAAATAAGCAAGCAGTGAGAGAAGCATTAAGTCACATTTAATGGCAAACTTACTCGAATAACAGAAAATTTATCAGCAGAACTAAAAGCTAAGAGGGCATGGAATAATAATGTATTTCAAATCATGAAAGAAAATAACTGTCAGTCAAGACTACTATACCTAGCAAAGTTATCCTTCAGAATCTAAAGAAAAATAAAGACTGTCCAAGATAAGCATACACCAAGATAAATCATTACTGCTAGACTAGCATCACAGAAGATATTTAAGGTAATCCTATACCCAGAAGAGAAAGAAGGCAAACACAATAATGACATCATGGAAAAAAGTAAATCTCACTAGAAGAGTAGACATAATTATGAGAAATAGGAGAGAAACATTATCAGTATAGTTAATTATGAATTCAAAGTTGAGAGTAAGACATTCTAAAGAAGAAATGGACAGAGAAATTTTTTAGAAAGAAGTAAATCAGCAATATGTACATACCTTTTAATAATAACTCTGATATAAATGGTGTTAATTTACCAATTGAAAGACAAAGATTGGCTGAATAAATTGAATAAAAATGAACAATATGCTTCCTCAAAATCCCACTAGCAAAAACATGCACAGAACTGAAAGGCGAGGGATGGATAATTATTTCTAAGCAAATGAGATCTGAACATAAGCAAGGTAGCTATACTAATATCTAACAAAGTGGACTTAAAAGCAAAATCAGTAACAAAGACAGTCACTATATATTGAGAATTTATCAAGAGAACCACTCATCAAGAAGACATATAACTGCACATGTACTGAACACTGAAGCACTCAATTTTATAAAATGAACACAACTAGACATATAGGGAAAGATATACTCAAATACAGTAATAGTGATGAATTTAGTATGGTACTCTTATGGAGGCAAAAATATCAACACAGACATTTTAGAGATAAATGGACTTAATAGATAGTCCAACAGTTACAGAAAACACATTTCTTCACATCACCAAATGGAACTTTTCCCAAAAAAGACCATATATATGGCCATAAAGAAAGCTGTAAAAATTCAAAAACATTGAAATAAATTCTGGCATCGTATCAGATTACAATTGAATACAGGGATGACCAAGTACATGGGTTCCAGTGGGGAGGGGGGTTATGGGAGGGTGCCACTTGAGATATGGGTATATAGATGATCAAGATTGTTTGGGATATTCTGTATGAAATACACACACAGAAAAATGAATAAATTTTAAAAAATGAGTTATATTTGAGGAAGAAGCATAAAAATTTGCTTCATGTTAATTAGTAGATGTGAAAAACATTACCATTGAAATCTACCTGATGACTTTATATCCAT